GAGAGACTCACAAAAAGATACAGAGAGAGACACAAGACGCACAGAGAGACACACAGAGAGACGCTCAGATAGACGCACAGAGAGATATGCAAAGAGACGCACAAAGAGACGCCCAGAGAGATGCACCGACAAATACACCGACAGACGCATACACAGACACACTCATAGAGACACACACACACACATTCAGAGACACACGCCCATAATGATACACAGAGAGACACAGGCGTGCACACACACAGACACAGCCAGATAAATAGAGAGACCCATATATATATATAGACATACAGAGAGACACCTGTATTTAGAATGCACGGCACTGGAGCGCAAGGTACTAAAATTTCGAAATTTTATTATCGCGAGTATGGCCCAACTTTGCTATGGAAGCTTTATTACCGCGAGCATGCCTGCCCAAAATTTCAGAAGTTTTATTGCCGGGAGCATGTCCTCCTAAAGCTACCAAAATTCTGAAATTTTAATATCGCGAGATTTCTTAAAGCTACTCTAATTTCGGAAATTTTAGTATCGGGAAAGAAATGCTCCCGATACTAAATTCTCGAAATTTTAGTACCACGAGAATACGCCAAAGACGAGGTTATAGGGGCCAGGGGCGCATAAAAAGACGATTAATATAATGACCCTTATTCGTACGATTATTTGTAGTAATATTATTCTCGAATTTCGCATTCGATTTCATGTATTTTTTAAAATTCTTTATGAATGATAAATATAGTATTATTCTGAATATAAATATCTGGAGTAATATTAGTATTCAATTTAATTTCAATAGATTCAATAATAATCTTATTAATATAGATTCTTAGATTTTTTATCAATATGAATATAAATATAAATATTAATGAATATTTATATTAATATTAATCTTGATATTCGGGATGATATAATATTAATATAATTATTATTTCTAATATGAAAAGATATTTTTAATTTTCTGAATTTCAGGATTATAAAATTCAAAAAAAATTATCGGGGAATATGAAACTTAACTTTATATTGAGAATTCAAATATTTTCTATAGGAAAAATTTTACGAATTCAAACTCAAGATTCTAAAAATGTAATAGATCTCGCATTCTCTATGGAATCTTAATTTTTTGAAATCGATCTTCGGATGGATCTTTAGATATGATCTAGAAAAAAATTTCATTATAATTTGACAGTCTCTTAATAAAATCTTATTTCTATTTAATCAAAAATTTTAGAAATAGAAATTCTATAATAAAGATCAATAAGCTATCGAATATAAAATAATATAAAAATATATGCTCATTATTTCTTATAATAGACTATCTTTTTTAAATATCGTTCCCAGCACGTATTTCTGCTTCTTCCAAGGTGTCGAATTTTGAGTCCTCAGATCATATCTATAATCTTTTTTCTAGGGAATCGATTTTTGAGAAAAATTTAAATTTGGAATCAAGATAAATTTAGTATTGATCTATCTATTATTTTGATTATTTTTCTTATTTTAGTCTTGATTAATTTTGATATCATATATATATATAATAAAAATAATATTATATTTATTATTCTTTTTATATTCTAGACTTGATATAAAATTATATAATCTATGATATTTTCTTATCTCTTCATTTTTATCCCGATTTATGCAATCATTCCTGAACATTTCGAGATTTAAGATACCAATTTCTATCGCTCAAGGAAAGGAGAAATCTTATGATTTCATATATATTTTTTCATAGGAGACTATATACTTCTATTAGATATGGACCTATCATATTCGAGACGATAAAGATAATTTCTAGATTAAGATCGATCATATCTTGGAATCATCAAAGAATTCCGATATATTCTCGAATAATATCATCTTTTATATTTATCATCTCGAGGAATATGCTCAATCCGGAGAATTTTAATATAAGAAATATGCGATTAATGATTTAGAAATAATAATTAAATTGACGAAATATGATTATTTTTGATATCTATAATCGATTCAATAATTAGAAAATGATGATTCTTTATTGAAATAAAATGATTTCTATTCGCCGAGATATCGGATAGATATTTCGCAGATTTTCCTATTAAAGAAAAACTGATAATCCACGTATTATCTAAGATAAAAGAATTATGAAGATTCTCGATCCCGATTCTGGGACGGAAATCACATAATCAATTTATCTTTATAAAATTATGCTAATAGATCTAGAATTATAAAATAAATTTCGAATTCGCAATCCCGAAAATTATAGAATTAAGATAGAATCCGAATCTATTCGATCTCTTATTGAGAATAAATTTTTCGAAATCTTAAGAGAAGGGAATAGATCTATCTTGATAATTATTATAATTATTTTCTGCTCTCTCCTATCAGGGACGTAAATATAATATAATATCATTTTATTTTATAAGTATATAGAATTTATCAAGAATATCCCTATATAAGAAATATCTGGCAGAAATTAGATAAAGAATCAGTCCGCCTATAGGCATCCATGATCCGAATCAGAAGTTGAATTCAAGATTTATTTTATAATTCTAGGTCCATTAGCATAATTTCATAAAAATCAATTAATTATTCGATTTCCGACCCAGAAGCGGGATCGAGAATCTTTAAAAAGATAAGAATATAATCGTAATCGAGCGCCAAGCTTGGAATAAAGATTCCAGAATTAGAAGTCCTCAAGCTCCTCATTTTAGGTCCTAGGCCTATAAAGTATCCTAATTTTCTCATAATTTATAGATTAGTGTTGCCGTAGCAAATTAAAATTATGACCAAAATTTAATTTTAGATATTTTTAGAGAAGAAATCGAAGATCTATATTATAAAATATAGAAAAATATAATCTATAACAAATTCTTTATTAGAGGAAATAGAAGATATTTAATTCGGATTAATATATTCGAAAATAAATTAAATAGAATCTCTAAATAAGATCCCAACAAAACGGACTGTTCTAAAAGAGGTTCTATTAATAATATATGAAGAGATCAAATCTAAATTTATCTATCCTACCTGTGTCCCTATATTAATTCATATCAATCGTTGTAACCAAAAATTCACCTCCCAATATCTCTCAAAGATATAGAATAAGCAATCTCTCCCATAGATTTATAATATTTTCTTCGATATTCAAATGAAATGGCACTTTCTTATTAAATTATAGGCCGTTCTGAATAGTTTCTTAGCAATATTCGAAAAAGGTTTTGCCCATTCGAAAGAATCTCATTCTTATAAGCCGAATACGGCTCACTAGATTCAGTAGATAAGATACTATTCTTACTAGAAACGTGTCAGATATATTAGAATACGAAATTCGTTCGTATTTCGAAGATGGACAAATATCGCGATATCCTGGTGCACTAGCTCAGTTAAGAGACGAGATTGAGACTAATATCATCTCCATCATTATACCAAATAAATCAAAAGTCCAATCACCAATACAAACCCAAGATTTCAGCCAGGATCATTCTTATTTTACACCTAAGTTAGATTCATTCCGCTATAATCCTTCCCTCTTATATTTCCAAGACCCGAATGAATTGGAACGACCAAGCACGAGATTACTCACACTCCGCATACTCAGCACCATATATATTTGTTAAGGCTTAGCTGGGACCGTCGTTGCAGATCTATTTTCTGCTAATGGTTCCCATCCGACGATTGTGGTCATCATCGAAAAGGGTCATAGAGATTTTTCAATCTGGATTCAATTCGTCCGCTTCCCCACTTTGAACACTAACAAGTAACGCCTTCCGTTTTTTATCCCCCAGGATTAATATCGAAAACACTGCCGGGTTTAGACTTTCAGAGTTCAGATGATAGATCTCTTGGAGCCATTCATAGCTCTGAAATTAAATCAGAATGCAATGAAAGACTCTGATTCTTTGTGGTCGGCATGGTCATCGGGCTCTTTGGATTCAGTTGTATCTGCTCGAACCTATACTATATCTCATGCACAAGCCCAGGATAAGCAGTTCGTGTAACAGTGTTTAATCACAGAGGCTCTGTTTTTCGATTCTATACTGCTAAAGTTCGCCTTCTTCATCTTCGTCGTCGTCGATCACCTCGCTGTACTTGCAAAGCCGAGACCTCCTGCGACAACCACAACAGGACCACTTCGTGCGCATCCACCAGTCTGCCAAATCTTACGTTCAGTCATGTGATACAGGAGGCTCTGGCGTGCAGCGGGCCTTGCGCAAAGCCATCTCTCCCAGTTGTCTGACAACACCTGTGACCAGGTTCTCTCGAATGCACTGAGACCTCCCATCACATATCAAGTTGGCCTGTCCGTGGAAGCGAGTATGCGGTACCTGGGATTCTGGTGTACAACATCAGGCAACCCGGACATGATTCAAACGCACTCAAAAGCCTAATCGGTCCAGAGACTCCTGGACAGAGTGCAAGAAGGAAAGAACGCAGCCTTGTGTTGCATCATCAGCTGCAGCATATCCAGCTTCCTGTCGCGAATTTTGCTTCCAGGTTAAGCTGCAATCTCTGCAAAGCAAGTAGGAATATGTATCAACCTCCTGCCCGGGCTTGGGATTGCTGCCATCTTGTGTTGAGTATCTAGAGGTCTCCTTGAAAGCCCAGATGTCACAGCCACTTGCAG